TATACAAATCTAAAAAATGTATTTTTAAAAATCTGCAAATTTTGGCATTGAAAGGAACCAATGATAACACTTAGGTTATTTCAATTTGTTTGAGATCTACTGCAAAAAGTCCAAATTCATTATGTACAGCCTGTGACTGACGATATTTTTTTTCCTTTTTCATGGTATAAAAACAATACACATTTAGTAGAAACCCCACTTTTTTATATTCTCCTGGGCTAGCAGTGCTGATGGTGGCAGCGGGCTGTAGCTCTCAATCAGCCAGGATCAGGAGGGTGAAGAGCCCATTCTTTCTATGGTGCGCTGGGTTGCTAAACTGTGAGGATCAGTAGGTCAGGTGTATTCAATGTTTTTGATTTATGATATTTTCAACTTACAATGGGTTTATTAGGATGTAGAACAATAAAACATGATCTTCATATTTTACTCCTGCTCATATTGCTAGTTTCATCTTTCAGCTCCTTACCACTAGACCTACTGTGGCAGCTTTTGCAAAAAACTTCCCATTCTCTTATTTTTAATTTGCTAATTCCTTTCATAAACTGATGTCCATGCTACTCCTTCAGTCTGAAATTCACCAAGACCCATCCACACTTAGGAAATGATATTCACCTTTCATCACACCATTTGAATCATAATCACACAGATGAAAGAATTTATAATAAGTTTGAAAACAGAACCACGTGGAGTAATTCTAAGTACAAAAAAAAAATCTGAGCTGTGTTACTAGTAATTTTTTTGTGTGTACTGTAGAATACAGCATACAAATGTAACTGACTATTATTGAGAACTAAAGTTTTATAGTGGGAAAAGGGACTGTAAGTAGAACACAGAATGAAATAAAATAAGGAAGAACCCTGCACTACTGGATTTGGATCCACGCTATCAATGTGAACATTAAAAAAAAAAAGGCACTGTGTGTGGGGTGCTCCCTGATTCTGTTCACTAAGGAGCAAGGGCAAGAAAGAGCAATCAGCAAATCTGTACTCAGACTTTGGTCTTTAAATACCATCTTCTACTACAAATGCAGAATTAGAACTGCAAAAAACAGCTGATTTCAGGTCTGAAGCAAGAAAAATACACAATTAGCCTGAATAATACACTAGACTTTAAGGAAGTGCCAAAAGACTTCCAGTAAATAAAAAGACATTGCCAAAGAACAAGTCACATGGAGCAATTTTAGCATTGACAAAGCTAAATACTTTTTAGTATCAAAAACTAAGAAATACATAATTACTACTTGTAGAAGAAAAACAAATTGCAGGTAAGGGATATAAAAGAAACATTAGATTTTCTTTACCTTTTTCGTACCCTCCAAGTAACAAACGATAAAGATTAGAAATCTTAATGGATGGTAAAAACATGGAAGTGGTTTTTATGGAAGATTCTCAAGGTATGACCCTGTAAATTATATGCTAAATATGCAAAGCAAAATGTCTTTACACAAGATCTGGTTATCACCACCATTGATATAATTAAGCATCACTAGTAGTCGCACAATCTGATATCATCTGTGATGTGATATAGTGTGAAGTTAATATTACATATCTTCTATGTAATGTATTTGCTAAAAATGCTCATACTAAAGTATCTGATTCTCATACCAAGTAATCGGATAAATTTAAAATTTAAGACATTCTACAAAATAAGTACCCCTTGACTCTTAGAAAAAAAGTCAGTCAAGAAAAACTAAAGAAGCACAAACAGACAATGGTAGGTTAAAAAACACATTAAACATGAACAATAACTGCATCCTGGATGATAAAAGCAAAACGAAAAAGACTAAAACACACTCTGGGGACAAACAGGGAAATTTAAAGACAACTATCTATTAGATATTACTGAATTACAATAAAATCCTGAAGCATGATAATGATATGATAGGATATGATATGTCCTAAAGAGAAATTTATTCTCAGGGGACATATGTCAATATAGTTAGAAGTTCAATGTCAAAATATATGTAACTTTCAAATGGTTTAGGAAGACGTTCACTGCAAATATACATAAAAATATATGGGTGCTCATTGTGTCTGAAGATTTGGAATTTTATAATAAAAGTTGGGGAAAGGAGTCTCAATTCAAGTGTCACATCTTCTCTGAAGGCATTTTTTTTTTTTTCTAGTAGAATTCTTTTTTCTGTCTTCAGTATCCTCACAGTAGTTTATATTTCTATTTTAGCACTTTAGATACTCTCGTTAACTGCCAATTTATGTCTGATCTTTTACTTAAACTGTGGAACTGCTTTTATTTTCATTCCTAGAACTTAGTTCCTTGTATGGCACCTACTCTTCAGTGTTTGTTGTATGAATGACATTCCAAAGCAGTACGCCAAAGCTGAAATCCAAGAATTATCCAAATCACACCGTGCCTGAAATTTAATCAAATCAAATCAATGAAGTGTTAAATGGTCTGACGCAGCCTCTACTATAATGGGCACATCATCATTTAAAACAAACCACGACAACAGTACCGCAGCCTCTCTACAATTCTTTTCAGTTTCAACTCAAGAATATTAGAGAAGATGCATACCTGCTCCATGTCCTTGGAACTGGAGGTTGGGTTTTCTTCCATAGTTCCAGGCTGCTCATTTTCCCATGGTAACTTGTTTTTTCCTTTTCCTGCACTTAGTACCCTTCGGGTGCAGACAGTAGGACTATAAGATCCATACATTTGCATGCTTTCCCTTGTAGGCTCCCCACAGTGACAGTGTGCACTCTGATTTCTGTTAGCAGCCAAAAGCCAGTCTGTATCTGCTCCATGTGCCAAATGGCTTGATCGACTCTGGGCTGAAGATGGCATGAGTGTTGCATATTCCACAAATCCTTTTTCTGTTAGCTTCGGTAGAGTTTTTCGAGCCAACCTAGCCTGCACAGCATTCATCACTCCATCTCCATTATCTTGCATTTCAATAGTATCCACAGCTTTAAAAAGGATGTTGGTTTTACCTGAGCCCAATGATGATGCCAACACAGCAAAAGCTTCCAGAGCTGCTTGGCGCACCCTGCGCTTGGTATCTACAAGAGCTGGGGCAAGATCAAAAGACAGTTTGGGTAAATCAAAATCCTCACTGGGATAGGTCAGAAGGGAGCAGATGCAAATGTTCACCACTTCTTCTCTTACTCTGGAATGCTTATGTTTAAGATGCTCCAGCAGTAAACAAAGCACCCGTTGAGGACCTACTTCCTTCATTAGCTTAAGAAAGATTTTCATATATTCCTGTTTGATCACCAATTTGTTGTCTGCCAATACTTTGACAGAGGTTGTTATAACTGGCCCCAAGAACTGTTGCACCTGCTCTCCAAGGCGAATAACCAGTAAATGCAGAACCTGAAGTGCTCCATGGACAACTTTGAAATTAGAGTCGTCTAACAAATTGTACAACAAGCTAATGAAACCGACAAGACTGGAATGAGTGGTAGAACTAGGGTTAAATTTTCCCAGCACCTGTTTTAGCTCTTCAACGGCCTGAGTCCGGTTCTTATAGTTTTCCTGATCCAATAATCTGGAATGCAGTTCCTGAGGAATAATCCCAAATTTAAGATTGCTACTGGAAACAGTTACGGCACAGGGGACTGGCTCTTCAGGAAACCCTGAGGCTTCGAGTTCTAAGTAATAAGGAACCTGACTTCCGAACTGGGACTCCAGGCGGCGATTGTAGAGTCTTCTCAGGGCAGACGGGAGGCGAGAGATGTAGGAGTGAAATCTCTCCTGGCCAAGTCGCTCCCCAATTTGTTGAAGTGCCGAGAAAGCTGTGTCTGATTCGTCTTCTAGCTCCTGGTCGCTAAGCTTTCTAGCTAGGGCTATGATCACTTCAGTGAGATCCAAGCCGAGCAACAAATCTTCAGGAGTAAGTAAGATAGGGAGCAGCAGCGCGGTGGAAGCTCTAAGCTGGGCATCGGTACTTTCTAGACCTTGTTGAATAAGCGCTCTGAGCACCTGTCCCGAGCTACGTTTCAGGCATATATGCAGGATCTGAAGCGCATCTTTCCGCAGGGCTGGATCCTCTTCGCGTAAGGAGAGAACTAGTTGAGGCAGAAGGGCTAAACTAAAGACCTCTTCCAGCTGGCCTGCCTCCCCCTGGCCCCGGAGAACGTCCAAGAGAAGCTGCAAGCACAGTCGCTTTTCATCACTGCCTCCTTCCACGAGCACTCGGCCCAGGGCCCGATACAACGCTTCTTTGCGGCGAGGGAAGCCAAGCCGACCGCTCCGCCGCGGCAACGCAGCCTGCAAAGCCTGGAAAGCCTCGGAAGGATCCGGTGCGGTACGCAAGAGCTGAAAGAGCCTGGTCTCCTCTTCATCCCCGCCCGACGAACCTCCTCCAGGCCCAGACCAGCTACCTGAGACCGCCTCCGCGGGCAGCAAGAGGGTTGATGGCAGGGGCGAAGGCGTAGAGGGGTAAGAGCCGTGGTCCCCAGCAACTCCACGGCAGTAGTAGCTTTTCTCTCCTCTCATGGTGCCCCCGACTCGACGAACATCAGTCTCTGGGGCGGAAGGGCGACTGTGGCTCTGGGGGCGATAGGCACACGGGGCTAAAAGGGGTGGCAGCGGGAGCAGCGCGGACGGCGCAGCCGCCATGGAGGGTCGTCAGGTTCCTGGAGGGAACCATTGCCCTCTCCGAAGTGTCCGATGAAGTCCAGCTTTCCAGTTCCTCTCCAAGCCCCCGGTTGCGGAGGAGGAAAAGAAACAGCCCGAGTCAGCTGCCAGGCCGCCTCCGACCATGGGAGGCAGCCTCCAGCAAAATGGCCCCCGCCTAAGCCCCAGACCCCACAGCGGCTGCCACCAGGCGTAACCAGGGGCACCACGTGACCAAACCGATCGCTTCCATGGTGATGGACCCAGGGCAGGCCTGTTAACCCGGAAATCAAATCTACCGAAGTGAATGATGGGCCTTGTAGTCCACGTCAGGAGTGACGCTTGGACGGGAGGCTCCGGGAAGAGGAAGTCTGAAATCTGGCATGTACCGGGGAGAGGCGGGGCGGGGACGTTCGGCGGAAGTGACGGTCTAAGCACTCCGGGCGGAAGCTCCCCGCCCCACCCGTAAGAGTTGAGGTTTGATCGGAGCAAGTGAGAATTATTCCCGGGCTCCAGTTGTGCATCGCTCCTCCTGCTGTTGCTGCAGGTGCGATTCCTCGGACTCAGGTATTTTCCTTTTGCTGTCTAGCAGGGGCTCAGGCTTCGGCAAGGTTTTGCCCGACCGCCCCTGGAGCTAGCGTGAAAGAGAAAGAATGGACGGGAACAGGCGGGGAGGGAGGCGACATCTTCTGCACTGCTCGTTCCTGTGGTAAACGCGTTATTCTCAGCCCTGAGCAAGTGCGATCCTTCTTCCTGTAGTCCGCTTATCCGTACTGGCGACCCTACACCTAGGCCGAACTCCCAGACTAGGTACTTTTTTTCCCTTTCTCTTTCAATTCCTGGACCTTTGGGACCTTATTTACCCCGCCTTTCTCCGCCTTTTCCCATTCTCAGACTCCTCTTACCCCGCTGGCTGTGGCAGGTTCACGGTTTTCTATCTTTTCTCTTTACCCGCATCACTGTAAATTCCCTTTAAATGCATATGACCTGCAAATAAGTCTGTTTCCTCTGTTGTTGCCCGCCTCGCTCCAGACGTTGTCAAAGGCTCCCCGCTAGTGCAGTTCCGCCGTGGGACTCCCCCAGCCCTCCCTCCGCCGCCCTAGGCTCTCTGCAGTCTCCTGGAAACATTGCAAAGACGATCAGTCAGCTGCGGTGGAAATTCTTGGCATCACAGCCCCCAGAGAATTCTGCCCTGTGGATTTAGGGTTGGTAGATATTTCATTGTTTTAGGCGGACTGAGAATTGGTTGGGCACCCTTTCTCAGTAATGAAACACAAGCGTATTTAGCGGAAGAGTTAGAGGATCTTGTGTGAGGCCGAATGCTGTGGAGTGTGGCACACGTATTAAAAATAAAAAGAAGAACACAGTTACTTTTGAATGACTCGATGAGAAAAGTCTGAGTTATAATTTGAAATCCAAGTTTTGTTCGCTTCAACTCTAAACCTGCGCCCCTCTGTGCCAGCTGGGATGTCTTTCAAGTACTTTTTAAAATCTTGGAGTACTTGAATCATATTTGCTAAACAATTTTATAATATTTCTGATGGATATAAATTCAAAAATTACTTCTAAATTTTGCGTCACATCACGCTTTGAATAGCATAAATGAGAGTGTTAGGGTAAATGAGTCTATGTAAATTGGTGTTGGGTTTTGTTTTAAATTCCACCTTGCATATTCACCTTGGTTGTTGTTGTTATTGTTTGTTTTGTTTTATTTTTTCCGGGAACCGAACTCTGGACCTTGCACTGGCCAGGCAGATACTGTACCGCTGAGCTATACCCCCGACCTTTTCTTATTCACATTGATGTATAACTAAATATGCCTAAATTGGCTTAGCTAGCATATTTCAGTATATTTCACAAACGATAAGAACCCCCTTTTGCCATTTTTAGGAACAGGATGAGACCTGGGGAGTAAAACCCAAGACGGTTATAGCGGTTGTCAATGAGAGAAAGAGGTGTGGTTTTCATGTTTCACTTAAGCTTAGATGGATACTTTTGCTTTTGTATGCTCAGATTTCAGGAACCCAGTCCAATGGAAAGTAAAAAGAGAATGATGAACACATTAGAATGTACACATTAAAATGCCCGTTTATGTTGCAATAGAAGATAAACCCTTTCCAGTGAACAGAATTTTCAGGTTGAAAATTCAATGTACTCTTTCTTGTATTGAAGAATTTATTTAGGAAGCCAAGTTAGTAACAAGAGCTTGTGTGGTAATTAGCGTTAAAGAAAAGAAGCTTAGGAAGTTTTGGTTGATATTTCATCATCAGTTATGGTAGAAGCTTAAGTATTATTCCTTCTATAATACTTTTCAAGGGACCTGAATACCAAAATGAAGCTATTAGTCTTTTTTCTGGGAAAAAAGCAAAATGAGCCTTTCTTTTGGCTTTTCTTTCTTGTTTTTTCAGGTCCCTATAGGACTCTGTGTTATCGTTGCATTTTTAAAAAGTCCAATTACATTTTGTCTTCTTGATGAAGACTTGGAAAATCAGTAGTATCCATGGTGGATATTTAGGAAATAAGACTTCGTTGCTGTCAACAGGTTTTGCTAATTAACTCCTATGGTTATATTGTGAAATATAAATCTCATCCTCTTAAGTATACCATATTCTGCTTATATGTATTATAAACACAAAGCAGGATTTTAACAGTAACATTTTTATTTTTGATTCTAAGAGTCCTTTGTGTACTGACTGAAAAACTTTTATATTTGATTGGAGATGTAGACAGGTAACAGATTTTTAATCAAATTCCAGAATAATGAAATATACTTTTAGTTGTATTAGAAAGTTGAAAGGAAGTAGTAAGAAGACATTGAAAATTGCATATTCATGTAAGAGTTAAGTTTCATGGAATACAGGATTATCTATGTTAATTTTTTAAGCTGAATTTAAGCAGAGTACACGCAGTTGCTCTAAAGATATCCTTTATAGAGCGGGCAAAGCATCACATGTTTATAATCCCGGCACTTGCCTGTGATCCTAGCACTCAGGGAGGTTGAGGTAGGAGGATCAGTATGAGTTTGAGACCAGTCTGGGCTACAAAGTGAGCTCAAAGCCAACCTTAACTGTATAGTGAGACCTCGTCTCAAAAATATAAAAAAAAAGAACATCCTTTATTTCTGTTGTCAGAGACTATAAATTTGTTGGGTTAGTCAGACAATCTAAGGGTATTAGAAACAGGTGTGAGTTTCATAAACTCTAAACAAATTATATTTTAAGAAGTTATTGTGAAATAGTGCTATGCAAATGAAAAGTGCTATAAATGTTAAGCAATTAACAATAACACCTTTTATTTATTGGCTGTATAACACATACTGTGTTATGTACTTAATGAATATTAACCTAAGCACACTATTTTGGAAGTTACATATTCTACGTTTGTACTGTCGCAGATTTTTGGGTATTTCCCCTGGAGAACAATTTGTCAGAGGGAAGTAAAGCTCACATTAATCAGTTTAGCTATTTATCTAAAGCTTTGGAAAAGAGAGTGTTGAAATATAGAATATAATTAGATCTTTCCATTGTTAATCATTGATTTTTTTTTACTCTACATTATTGATTAAATATACATATAATTTTTTTTGTAGCAGAGATGGAATTTGCAACCTCACACTTGTCAGGCAGGCGCTTATGCTATTGAGCTAAATCCCTGGCCCTGATATATTTTAATCTTTTTAAATTTGTTCTGAATCTTAATTGCTTGAGTCAAAACATTAACATGAGTTACATTAAGAGTTTAGTTTTATACTTATGGGATTAAACAAGTGGTATATTTTAGCTAACTTCATTTATATTCCAAAGCATCCCTACCGTGAGGACTATAAAAATCCAATTTTTATTGTGTTTTGAGCACTAATTTTTATAAGGAAACAGAATGTCACATCTCTTGCAAACAGTTCTTCAGTAGATGGGTTAATTATGTAACTAGGAGCTTTAAGATCATTTAGTAATCCCTTTGGGGACTTGTTTTATTTTGTGATATTTCTGATTCCATGATATAATAATGCATGTTATGACAGGCTTCTAATTTTGCTTCTCTAGATATAATGAAAATCAATCTCAAAGAAAAGGAAAATGTAACAATTTATTTCATAATCTCACTGATAAAATTATATGCTATCATTTGTTGAATTCTACCATGAGGCAAGTTGAACTGTGGAGAGGAAATTTAAGAAAGAGTTTATAATAAAATATTCTCCTGATGTTATATATCATGTTTTATATAGGAAATTTTGTTTTGATTGCTTTTAAACTGTCATGCTCATTTCTGTTCACCGTATATTTGCCATGATTGTGATCTACCAGTGTTTATATGGTGGCAGATAATTGTCTCCCAAGTGATTTCAGTGTCCCTGCTTTATAACTTAAATGTCAGTTAAACAGAGATAGTAAACTAATATCTTGATCTTTTATTACCTTGGTTTCAGAAGCCAAAATTATGAAATTACTGTGTATTATGGAAAGTTTGGTTTTATTTTTATGTCATCTAACATTTTAGATATTTATATATGTATATGATTTTAAGTGAAATATGATGTTATTAAGATTTTTCAGCTGTTTCTCAGTGTTGACTAATCCAGTTACTAGATTTACTTTTTTAATTTGTATTTTATTGGTAGGATTTAGCTATGCATAATGATAACATTCATCATAAGGAATTTATACCTACACATAAAGTATCTTGCTGCTGCTTTTTTCCCATGCCCTCCCCTCCCTTCAACCTTTCTTCCCCTCTTTATTTTATTTATTTACTTTTTTTGTCTTTTTGAGACAGGTCTCACTATACACTTCAGGCTGTCTTGAACTCACTTTGTAGCACATGCTGGTTTTGAACCTTCCAGGGATCCTCCTGCCTCAGCCTCTTTCGTTCTGGGATTACAGGCATGCACTCCCACACTGGGCCCCTCCCCTCTTTATTTCCATTTTTTCTTTCTGTTGTGTTTTTTCTGCCCCTCCCCTTTCCTATCCACCTCCCTCTCTTGTGTTTCCTTTCTCATTTGAATAATTTCTTCCCATTTCCCAATATTTATTATACATTTTCTGTTATACACTTTCAGTTTCTTACAACACAGAAGCTATGTGGTAATTACACAACATGTGTGTGCAGAATATTTCATGTAAGAGTACAGTCTCAGGGTGCATCTACTTAAACTAGAAACATCTCACACGTCTCCTTTGTTATGGCAGAGTTGTACCCCATTGTATTAAAAAACCACATCTTTATGCAAAATCTAAAACAATCCACAAATTGCATACAGTATATAGGTCCTCAATGTAGTGCTTTTACTCTCAGAGGAGAAAATATAAGAGATTAGGCAGGAAGAAAACCAGAAAAATAGAGAAAGAAGAGATCAGAAACAAGGCTTGAGGACAAAGTAAGACTACACAAACTTTGGGAGACTGGGAAGAAGATCGGAGGGACTGAGAAGGAAGACGTAAAAACAAGAACAAAGAATCAAGGAAAAAAAAACAGCAAAGAAAAAGTAGAAATATTAAAAAAAAAAAAAACAACACCAAATCTATCCACTTCAAGGAGTATCTCTGTGCTGTTGCTTGAAGACCAAG